GCAGCCAAGATCGCCGCGGCGACGGCAGCGCAGGAGGCGCGGGCGCAGGGGGCGGCAGGCTAGGCAGCCGCGGGCCTCCACTGAGACTCCGCGGCGGGCCGCGCAGCCAGCGCTGCCTCAGCGCCCAACCCGCCGCCCGCCGATGAAGCATGTCAGGGGTCCACCAGTTGCGAGGGAGTGAGTAAACTGTTCTTTGCCAACGGCACGTGTTTGGGTCAAAGAGCTTGGGATGTCCCCACAGATCAGCAACGGCTTCGTGTTCACGATGATTTTAGGGTAGTCGAGTCGCATGTCTGCACCCGTTCTCGGGACGAGTGGATCGCCAAGGCGCGCAGAGCAAAGCTCAAGTACATCGACAACTGTGCCCGTCCATCTGGGAGAGGCCTCACTACAGCAGCTAGGAACAGGGCGAACGAAAGAAGGGGAACTCGTTTTGGCCCAAGGTCATCGTCACCTTCATCGTCTTTTCGAGTCCGCCAAGGAAGTTCCTCATCTTTGTGCGGACGGCCACGAGCAGCTGGACGGCTTCTTGCCCGCGGTGCCGCGACAGCAGGGCGTCAGCCTCATCGTTGCCCTGGTTCATGGCCACCCGTCCGTGGGCTTCCACGGCGGCAACGCCCAGCGGTACGCTCGTCTTGGCTCGTTCCTGCGAACGCTCCAGATGCCCTGGTTGATGGTCGGTGACTGGAACATCGACGTAGAGGTTGTGCGGCGATCCAAGTTCTTGCAGAAGATACAGGGTCACATCGGGAAGGCCCCCGTGCAGTGCACGCAGGTGGGAGGCAGCGGAGACTCCCACCGCGATTTCATTGTAGCTAGTACCACCTGCCTCCCATACATAGTTAGCGTCTCAGCAGTCAATGATGTGCCCTGAGCCCCACAGTGTGGCCTGGACATCAGTCGTCGCAGCTCTGGACAGCAAATGGTAGCCAGGAAGATGCCCACTGTCCCTCGTCTGCCTCAGACGTCCAGACCCACCGCGGCCGCCCAGGCTGACTCCAAGTCCAGGCGGGCGCGGGCTCAGCAGGCTCTCCGCGCGGCGTCGGCGCGCGAGAAAAGACGCGAAGTGCGCGCAATTCGGTTTTCGGACCTTCTCCCGTCCCGCCCAAGTCAGGAGCAAGAGGAGACCTCGGCTGGGGATGATGTCGAGAGACCCTCGGCTACTGACGGGGACGGCGACAAAGAACAGTTGTTTTAGATTTTGATCCTGGATTATTCGGCTCGGGGATCCCTGGCTTCGACGAGGAGGGCCCGTGGGACGACGAAACTTATTTTAGACCTGCTTCGGCTCCTGTCCAGTCTTCGAGCTTCGAGGCAGGTCGTGCTGGTTCATCCTTGTGCACCTTTGAGAGGGGCAATGAAGTTGGCGGCAATTCGAGGGAGAGTCGGGCCGAGCCCAGCGATGGCACCACCCAGGATTCCCGAGTAGGTGACGCCATGGGCGTCCATCTCACTCCGTCTGCCAATGCTGATGCCTCTTCGCCTCTCCGCTCTGTTGTTCTTCCGCATTCCATCTGGCTCAAACATCAGGACCAGGTTGGCTGGGTAACACATTCTCTTGATGATGCATGGCCCGCGATCCGTTCGCCCCTGGCCTTCGCGGCAGGAAGGCCTCACATGCTGGCTAGCAGTGGCAGGTTTGCCGCAAAGGCCACGACTGCGGAACGGAGTCTCAGCGAGCATCGCGGCATCGCAGCACCAACGTTCTCGAGGGCGGCAGGGCCCAGGCAAGAAGAAGGTCCTGTCCACGCTGCAGCCCAAATTCGTGATAAACCTCTTCGGGGCGCGCATGCTTCGCGGTGGGCTCGTGCACATGCTATCGTTCAACGCATCGAACGGCAACAATGGCAATGGGGCTGCGCAGGCGCAGCAGCTGGCTGATGATGCTCGGCGGCCAGCAGCAGCACTACCTGACGGCGTGCACACCATCTTTCCTGCAGGCAGCGGTTCGAGGCAGGAGTGGCTCGCATCATTTCGGCAGCTCAAAGTTTTGGACCCCCAGAGCCTCGCAGCCGCCGTCAAGGTCGCAGATAGAGCAGCTCGGCGCGGTCGCGCCAGGGCTACCAGTCAGTCCTTGCAAGAATTTCAGGAGCGGATTGCCACTCAGGGCGCGTTGGCCATTGTCCACAAGAGTATCAAGCAAGAGCCTCAGCCTTCAGATGAGCTTCATTTTGAGGGCGGCTGTGCAGCACATCCTATCGAGATTGTCGATAGGAAGGTTGTTCGTTGGTATCAGCTCTTGAAGTCTGAGGAGCTGACCTACCCAAAGCTCCGGGGGCCATGGCTAGAGTCAGGCAGCTAGGCGAGATCGAGCAGCTCGTTCCTCTTTCTGTCTCTGACCTTCGACAGGCGCTGCGTCGCATGGAGCCCCGCGCGGGGTTCGGCGCGGACCAGCTCTCACTGGTGGACCCGGAGCGCCTTCCAGATGCAGGACTGGAGGATCTATGTCAGCTGTTTCATATTGTGGAGCAGGGCATGTCGTGGCCTTGGCAATTACTTA